GCAATTTCATTAATTTATAATTTCAGGTCTTGTTCTTATGTTTGCAGCCTCTGACACTAGAAATCTGTGTGTGTTTCCTCCATCTGTCTCATCTCTAAATGCGCTCTTCTGTGCTTCTGAGAACATTACTGATATTGACTGCAAACTGCACTAAAAAACCCTTTTAGGTGTATCAAGACCTGAGAGATAATCCTCCCATCAGCTTACACCTTAAGTGACAAAAAGAGAAGGAAAGAAGTTGATAACTGAGATACAGAGAAGTCTGTGTGATGCCTAGAGAGGCTACCTAGAACAGAAGCTGGACAGTGTTAAAGGAATAAAGTAGTTATTTATTAAAAAGCCTTCCAAGGATACACCTTGGGCAGTATAAGAGCCCAGCCATGGCTCCATCCAAGATGGTCCCAAGTTTTGACACTTATTATAAGTTTTGGTCCATTCACATATGGGATGGAAAGGGATTATTTGGTCTGACTAAACTGTGAAGAGAACTTGCTAGCACTTTATATGAAGTTCAGAGTTAAACATTAATGCAGTAGAGAATCTGCAAAATAGGAAAGCTAAAACTTCTTTAAGTTTTATCTGGCTAAGCATCATGTGCATAGTCACAAAAAAAAAAAAAAAATCAGCTGCTGTTGTATTAATCCCAGTTCTAGTGGCAGCTCACCAGTATCTCAAAAACTGTCCCAGATTTATCTATGGTAGGGGGTGCAGCACTAATTTTTCCTAGCAATCTTTCAAAAGTATAGATGTGAGGTATCCTTGAGCACAAATGTTCTTGTATAACAGATACACACAAATGCAGGCTAATTTTGTTTTTGGCCAAAATATTGTAGAAGATAAATTTTTGTTGTAAAAGGTGAAATTATTGCTTCAAAAAGAGCGATTAAAAAAACTCTTCAAAATAGTGTTGCAACAAAAAGCCCACCAAAATATTTATAAGTAACTAGAATAAACTTTGAGAAAGATTTCTGGAATGTAAAACCAAAATTTATTTGCCATAGATCTGGTTTGGTGGCTGCACTGAGAAGTTGGCAATAACCAACCAACCAACAAGATATTTTGTGTCAATTAAACAGTCTTAGTTTTCCACTGAAAATAATACAAGAATAAATAAAAAGAATAATGAAAGAAAAAAAAAAAAAGGTGGCTGGAAAGGTCACAAGACGCATCTACTCAAAACAAAAGGCTACATATCTTAATTAAAAGTGTAAAAGGAAAGAGGAAGCATAATTTAACTTCCATGAAGAGTTACATACTTTTCAATACTTCCCACCTCCAAATACTTTTCAGACAGAAGAGTTAAAACATTAATCCAAACTAGATCTTGCTTATTTTACTTTGAGATAAAAGCTTTGGTGGAACAAACTAAATATTCTTTCAAATGAGGGATTACTTTCATTTAGAGGAAAAATAGTATGAAACACACAGAAATAAATGTTTCAGAAGTGAATTATTTAATATATGCACCAAAATTGAGCTCACCAGCCAAGAAACTATTTTTGAGACTGAGTTTTGGACCCTTCAAATTTATGTTCAGCTTGAGACAACTGCAATAAATTTTCCTTTAATTAATTTCGATAAATGGATTGAGACATGCAGTCTGTTGTGGTTTTGGCACACTGTCCTGCCTCTTAACTCGAATGGCCACGAGATGAACCTCAGCGCATGAAAGCCTCTATTCTAAATTTTGAAATGCTGCAAAATTGTGTAGTAAACAAGGAGTGACTGAAAGCACAAAAGAATCCTGTGTTCTGTGGCAGCCTGCAGTGCACCCACCCCAGAGACATTCAGGACATGGGAGAATGGAGAGGTGCACTCAGGTGCTCTCCAAACACCACCTGAAGAGTGAAGACACATGAGATTCCAGAATTTCTGTTTAAAAGAAGGCTCTCCAAAACATTAGGTCACAATAGCAAGCAATGGTATTTAAATGCAACACTTCCAAGTTTAAAATTAGAAAACATTGTTTTGACTGCTAAGGTGGGAAGAGAGGAGCCCTGATCCTAGGAAAAAAATGTTCACTTACTTCCCAAGCAGACAAAATCTGCATGGGTTTGAAGACTCTGAAGGCAGTGCATGAAACCAAGTGCTTCTCAAACACTCATCTAGGAAGTTTGTGGCCTAGCTTAGAGTTGAAAGCTGTTTCCAGACGTCACATCATGAGAAAAACATAAATATTTTGAGGAGAGCTCTGAGAGTATAGAGTTCTCCAAACTGAGAGAAACAATCAAGTGGTGCAATTGAAAAAATTCTTTTCAGGGCCCAACATCCTTTTGGATGGGAAACCAAAAGATCAGCCATAGACAGATAAATATTAGAGACTCTTTACCTGCATAGATGAATTTGGTTTGCCAGTCACTGAGGAATGAGAGTGAAAGAAATCTGCATTTTGAACTGAGAATGTTCCCTCTTATAGAAAAACTGCCCATTAAAAAATGCCCCAAAGTCACACCAAAAACACTCACAGAACAAAGAATCAGTAATATGAACTCAAGAACTGAAGCCCACACACATCAGTTGCCATTGGCCATTACACCATTTGAACTGCTTTCCAGAGTGAACACACACTTGTTCTCTCCAATATCTGACTATAAGGTTGTGCCTACAGCAAGAGAAGTTCTGTAAACTTTTCAAAGTTTAGCAGAGAAAACCAGGAAAATTTAATTTATTTTGAAATATTTTTTTGATATTTATAGTTCTTCTACTTTGACACATCTTCCTGTACTTTTCTTTATAAGTGTCTATTTAAAAATAAATCATATCAAACACTTCAGGCAATTAGAGTCAAATCTCTACTGACAAGCAAAGTTAAAAAAGGAAGTCCTGACAAAGTCACTGCAAAGATGTCACAAGAATAATGAATAAACATTTCTATACAATTTTATTCATACTTCACAGCTGCGATTTCTGTTAATAACTGTTTTCAATTTCTTTGATGAAGGAGAAAGCAATTTGCTTCAGTCTTCACAGGTAATAGAAGGAACATTCCTCTCTGTACAGACTGTCTCTTAGAATTTAACATGAATAGAAGGTCTTCAACCTTAACCATTTAATCAGGAAAAGCAGACTACAAGGCCACAAAAATTATCAAAACCCCCTTTAAATGGATGCACTTTAAAACCCCCCCAAAACAACCACAAAGAACATTATATATTTAGTTTTCAAAGCAGCTTCTATTCCATGTTTCTTACAAGCAGCAGCTAAACAGTTTAATCACTGTACATGTGAGCTGGAACTTAGATGCCTTCCAGACAAATAAAAAGTTGTAGCCTGAGGTTAATAAAACACAGGAACAGAAAAAGAAATGAAACTCCAAATTCTCATATCGCACAATTCAAGTTTATTCCATTCATTCTTGCAACACAAACTTAAAAATACAGTATCATTTAGCATTCTGATGTCTATGAACCATGATAATGATGAACCCAACTGTGTCAAAACAGTTAACAATGGTGAAAAGAGAAAGTCAAATATCAAAATGCACAGAGCACTATTTTTCTTCTGTCACTGCGTAGAAAGATGATTGTTTATCCATTTACAAAATATAATTAAGACAAGTTTGTTTTGAAATTTTGCATGCAACACTGCAATTGCTTGACCTAGGACACTCAATTCTTGCCAGCCTCTTCTACAAATAATCAATGTTATGTTCAGTTCCATTTAACTATTGTACTCCTTTTCTCATTCGCTCCCTGTAAGAAAAAGGGAGCAGAGGGTACAAAATTGAAAATATACTTAAGTTTATAACTTATTCAGCACAAATTTCAAAGGAAAAGGTTTAAGAACAGAGTGGATTTCCAAGTATATGCAATTCCAGTCTGACAAAGTATTTAAATTCTGTTTATAGAATGAAAAATAATTTACAGTTTGGTATTTTTATCTAGTTAGGACCTACTCAAAGATAGAGGAAGCCACCCATTATTTTTTCCACAAAATAGCTAACAAGAAAGAAACAAATGAACATGCCCAGTCTTGAGACAATTACAAATGTATAAGCTTTTATTTTTACCTTTTTTTTTAATCCTGGGCAAAATGATTAAACACCTGTTATGTAGTGCAAAAAGCAGAAAAGTATTTCTTCTTTATAAGCAAGCATTAACTGCCATCTTTTTAACTCTCTCAAAAGGCAGCTTGGGTATATATTACAGCCAAATTAACACTTGACTCACTGAAGTCTGTTTGCTTCTTTTTCCCCCCCAAGGGTGAAGTAAGAAAAAATAAGGTGTCCCCATAATTGTAGAAAAAGGGAGGCAAAATTGCCTCAGTGAATCTCCAGAAGAGTTAGTACAAAGATGATGTTTCTTTGCTCACTTAAATGAGAGTTAAAGGGAAGGACAGGAAAGAATACAGAAGAAAAAAAAAAACCAACAAAAAAAATACAAAACCACTATGGCCAGACAACTTGATACTAATCAACACAAAAAACTTGAATAATCAAGTTCTCCCCGTAAAAACAGATTGCAGTTTTCTAGACTAGTATTTGAATAGCTAAGTATTTAATAGCACAATATGGAGGCAAATTGATGCCAAAGATTGTTACTTTCATAGCTGAATAAAGAGTTAAACCTATAGTCTGTGTTCACACTATTACAATGACACGACAATCCAGCACTGATCAGAGACAAGATTAAAGAGTCCTCTTATAAATAGTTATTAAAAGCATTGTTCACCAAATATTCTTGTTCTTTTATCAGCAGTTCATCAATTGATTTATTACTGATTTCCAACCCTCTGTTCTTCCTTGCCACCTACCTCCAAGAAATAGAGTAATTGCACTGTACAGTTTATGGCCAGAGTTGATTGTTTTCTCCATTGCTTTTCTTTTGCTATGTGTAGATGTAAATCAGTTCCTGCTCTCATTTTACACTCTCAATGCAATGCATTTCATATCAGAGACATTCAATCCTAATATGCAAGTTTATTCAAGTAAAACTAAATCTCCATTAAATATGAGTGGTAGTCACCAGTCTACTTCTATATATATCATCTCAATTTCAACAGTGATACCAAAATAATATCAGCTACTTTTGCTTAAGAATTCACCTTGAGAAGTTATATTATATACATTTGTTTTTCTGTATTGTGTTTGTTACCAAAGTTTGAAGTCTGTATTTCAAAAGAGAGGAAGATGTAGAGTTTGTGGAATAGAGCCTGTTACTCAGTTTTAAGTGAACCAGGAGTCTAATGAAAGTTTTCAGGATGAAAGCCAGCAGCTCAGATATTCCTGAGGACCACAAGGTGTGACAGGAGTGCTTACAACATCATTAAATACCTTCCCATCAATGTTCAAGACTGTCATACTAGTATAGTAAATCTTATCTAAAAGTCAATGGTTAATGTGGTATGGTCACACTGGGAACTTCCAGAACAAGCCTCATGCCTTAATGGAATTTAAGAGGTTCGTCCATTTGACAATGAAACACTCATTTGAAGATATGCACAGTTAAAAAAAAATCTGTAGTAGTTAGAGCAAGTTAAGACTTCTGCCTGTACATCTTCCTGCTTCTACATCTGAACTTAGAAAGGTTCTATGTTTACCAGAAAAGTTTAGCAACAATATTCAGCTGATCTGAACGGCTAAATAACTACTGTTCATTTTCCACATTTGCCTTGATTATCCTTGTGTGCCAAACAGCCTGGAGCTTTCACACGTGTCTAGGAATTTTATGCTGATGTGGTGAGTAAAGAAATTTCATCTTACATTCCTTTTGGAAAAAAAACTACAGTGAAATTTTGATGTCTCTCTCAAAAGTAGTTACTTAAAATGTCTGTCCTGGACTGAAACAAATATGGGATAGAAAGACTTCAAATTCAAGCATCCAAAAGTAGCTTGGCAGATATTATGGAGTGTAACACCACCATGCCTCAGCTGGTCTTTCTTGGTTTGCTCAAGAGTCAGAAAACATTAGTGTGACATCCAATTAGTCAATATAAAGAACAGCTCCAATAACTAGTATCAAAAGTCCTCAAAACTGCAACAGAAGCTTTAGGCAGAAGAAGAATAAAGCTACCCAGTGAGAGAGAAGAGAGAAGAGCAACCCAGCCACCTAAATTACTACACTTCAGATTATGGCAGACACTAAGAGCATGGGACTATTGTCCCCTTCACAATTAGTTTCAGGTACATAGCACAGTATTTCCATCTAAAGGAAGTACTTCCATCCATCTAAAAAATCTTAGTACTAATCTAGGAGGCTTACAAGCCAAATATTCAGCATGGTCTGTCTTCCTTCTTCCATTTTCACTAGAAATGGGAAGAGATTGTGCACTGGAAAGAAGTCCTAGAGGGACACTGTTCATAATACTTTTCAACCCTCTCCAACCTGATTATCTTTGATAGAAGCCCCTAACTAGTCTGACTCATAAAGAATTTCCCTCCCCCCAAAGTATTTAGCTGAAGAAGCTGGAAGATGCAAAGAGTGACAGACAGGCAGCAGTGTGAGGCCACAGGAGAGACATTTAAGATATCAGTCCATCCGTCACTGAAGGAGAGTCTTGATTGCCTGGTTGTCAGTGGCTTCAAAGGCAGTTAGTCCATCTGGGCCTTTCACACTCTTATCAGCACCCTGGAAACACAATGGGAAGGACTGTCAGTTCATAAAGCCAGGCTAAATCAGTACAAATTGTGTCAAAAGACACAAAATTTGAATCATTATATTGATTACATACAGCTTTTCACTGCAGTGCCTTGTTTTCATTCGGAAACCAACCAGACCAGATTTATGCACAGAGCTTTTCAGCATACAGCTAATCTGAGTTTCCAACTTGGTCATTTAAAAATAAGGAAAAAAACCACAATTTTTGTTACACAGAAAGTTGCAAGTCCAACAAATTATCAGTTAATCTTAGACGTATTTCTTATTTCCAGCAACTACTACTCTTACAAAAGCAAAAATTCAGTGTTACACACTTCTACAAAATCTATGGTGCAAGAAGCTCTCACATGCTAAATTACACAGGTAATACTTGGAAGAGTTGATTTACTAACAAATCATACTATATTAGTTTTATATAATAAAATTTATATCATCAAGGATTTTTCTTCTCTTCCATTCTGAAAAAAAAATGTCCCTATTGATACATCAGAAAAACAACACAAAATCATTCCAAGTCCAAAACTGCTCAGGTTTGTTTTGAAAGAGTTACATCTACACTTAAAAGGCAACCAAACAGAACAGGGAGGCAACAGGAAAATGAAGGATAATGCACCAACTGGATAAATTGGAGGATAATGCACCAACTGGATAAATCAAAGAATTAGAATAAACTGCTGCAAGTAAGCACAAGCACTGTGCCAGATTTATGGGAGGAGAACAAAAGAAGGGAAACAGAGTGATTAACTAGTCATGTTTGCTTTGAGCACTGTGTAATCACATTCATGAAAGGGAAAACACAGGCTAAACTGTAAATAGGGTAGCTAAATAAGGGGACAAAAGTTATTAGAGATCACAGGACTGATTTCAGAACAACTCTGCAAGATGATATGCAAATCTCGCTTGAAAATGACAGGAAAAACACCTTGGGTACAAACACATTTTGTCAAAAGTGTGTACAGCAGAGGCTTGTCTTCAGTTTATGCATAAGCTCTCCACAGAGTAGGTACAAATCCCTTCTCAATTACAAGGAAGACTGTTAGTTACTACTAAGGACACTGAATAGTTTAGGGACATAATGTACCTAGAATTTCCATAGCTTCTTCACTAATTAAACACACAAATCCCCACAGAACTTCCATACATAATACCATGGCTGTTCCCAAGACAACTCTCACTTCCTTAAACTTCTCTAACAGTCTAATAAACTGGATCTGATCCCACTGTGATGTGCTACCAATGCTACTTTTCACAATGCAGCATATTTCCCTCTCTGAAATTTGTACACTCTCTACTTGAATGTACTCAACCTGCCATTTGAGAAAGATGGTTTTGCAGTGGTTTTTATGGCAGCACTGACAGTCTTGTGGTCCACTGGCCAAACTGATCCTCTTGGAGCTGCTCATCTTCCTTGTGGCCCCTAGAGACTCTCAGTGCAAGAGATGCATTGAGCTCACTCCAGTGACAGGAGCAATTTTTAGTATTTCCTCTCTCCTATCACTGTGTAACACTCTTGGCCCAAACAGTACAAGGATGTTGCAGTTCTTTGGCATATGAACATGAGCTGAATTAGCCTGTTCCCAACAAATGACAGTTTGGTTACTGCAAACACACACTTGGGCTGAAACCATGGGAACATGGCTTCTAAAACATTTATCTTTCCCCTAAGAAAATCCAAAGAGATTTAGCAGGTATTCAACACTTGTAATCTTACTTGTCCAGGGAAAAGAAAGGCAAATAAGAGTACAAACAGCTTCTTCTGCAGGTGTTGATTATTTCTACTGTTTAGATAGCACTCAGATTAAAATCTATGTGGAAATCCGGAAGGCTTCAAAGCTGTTCATTGATGGAAAATCCTGATTTGAAGAAAAATGGAACTATCCAGTAATTGACCTGACAGAATTTAAAGAACTTTAATTTATAAAACTCTCCACCAGTGTACCAGAACTTAGGGTACCAAAGATAACAGTTAACTGAGGTAACTTTGAAGTATAAAGAGAGGTTTTAATCTTAACATAGGACTGATCTCCCCCTCTCACAAAAATACTTCTGAAAAATTATTGACATTGAAGACCTGGGTTTCTAAAACAGCTTTACTGATTGCAGGATAAGAGGGTCATGACTACCTAAGGAGGACACCGTTTATTAAACTCAGTACTAATAAATTTAGAAAATTGGCCATTAGCTAGACAGAAAGACTCCTGCCTACATTCAATAAAAAGAGAAGGAAACAATAAAGGTCAGGTCAAGAGGACTTTAATTGGTAGAAGTACAACACTGCCTGGAAGCAACTTTATTAAAAAACTCATGGAAGTACAATGATTTCATAGTATTCTCTACTTCCCCAAAGTAAAAAGTTCCTAATATTTGTGTTATGTTCTACTCCGAAAATACACATACACAAATAAATATAAACCCTCTCTCCTGGGCAGGGTAATAACAAACAAGGATGTTTGCCCACTTAAGTCACCAGGCAAAGCACAAATGTTAAACAGGCTCTGACAGCCATACATGAGCTACTTGGCTCCAGCTGTAGTTCTGGAAAAAACCCAAAGCAACAAGCACAGAACCCATGATGAGAGCTGAGCTCCCACCAAACTGTGAAACCAGAACTGGGGGCACTTAACGAAGCTGGGAGAAGATTGATTTACACAGCAAGCAGCAAACTGCTAAAAAGAGTTGCCAGATGACACAACAGAGGCAGATGTCTTCTTGTTCAAAAAGTACATGGATGAAGTCATGGCCAACAGATCTGCCAACACTTCTGAACAGGGGACAGATGGATGCACCTCTGAAATCCCCAGTACAGCAACCATGAATGAGGGAAATGAGTGAGCAGATGTGGTCATACTCACAGCTCTTCTTTTTGCCACTGTCAGAGAAGAAAAAAGGGGCTAAACTGCCCAGCTTAACAGGATATTTCTTGTAAAACAAAAGAAGAACTATTTTGGAAGTTGAACAAATGGATGAAGTTTGTTGCATCCTATGCAATAGCCCTCATTCTCTAAGCGTTCAAAACTGTTGTCTATTTTAACATATTGGCTTCTCTGACACTAAAGAAATCACAACTTTTTACATTACAAATCAAACACCAGATTATTAAAGAAAAACATGGATCAATGTCTGAAACATTTCTTGAAATACTCCTCCTCCTCCTCCCTTCAGTAGCTTGAGAGTCTCACATAAAAGGTTTCCAACACCTCCACAGTCCATTCACCACACAAAGCAATGGAGAATTTGGCTGAGTAACTGGGAAGAACATTAAACAGTCAGGAATTTTCAGGTCTTTCAGTAAGGGCTGACTCCTGATTCCCAGGTATCTGCTACCAAAGAACATATGACTATGGTACAAACAAGGCATGATTAAACTAATGTTTAAACAAGGTTCATAAAATAACTGTGTTAAGAGACAGAACAATCTCTACACATAAGCCCTGCCTCAAACAGACAGAGCTGATAAGCCAACTTCCAGTTTATAAATATTTTATCAGCTAGCCCATGTAAATGGAAACAATCAACATTTAACTCTGCATGAAGAAATCTGAAAGTAATTTATTATTTGAACTAATCTAGGTTGGAAAACCCTCCAAACCAGAAATGGAAATAAATCAACATGGGATAAAGGATACCTTATTTTCTGATGATCCTAAATGAAGGATCAATCCTCAGAATAAATTTAAGCAAGTCGGACACACCATTTGAATTGTAAATTAAGAATCACTGCATTTGGTTACAAAAAAGCGAAAGTAATATCAGACAAGATCAAAGTTAAGTGAAATTCATGCAGCATTAAGGCAGTTAAGGAAAACTTTACCCTGGAAGTGGCACATGACAGTATTACAAGGAAAGAATTCCTTTGGCCAAATGATTTAAGTGTAATCAAGAAGGAGTGTATGTGAATGGGTAAAAAAGATTGCTTGAATTAACTACTGGCTTTGTAAAATTGATCACTTTTGTAGTACAAATCGAAGTGCAAACAGAGACAGATTCGGCTTATTCTCCTCAGGACAAAATTTACAAGCTGTAGGACAGGGAAAGCTTGGCTTACTACTTTGATTTCCCCTCCCTCTGCCAACCCAGATGGGTTCTCAGTCATCTGGCACAAGTCGAGGGAAACCACACCTCTGAGCAACTTCACAGCAGACACTGCATCACATGAAGCACTCAAACAGCTGCCAAAGCCAAATCCACTGAAGGAATGCATTTTTTTTCCCCTTACTGATTTGCAGTTCTGCTCTCTAGCTGGAGCCCACAATACTCTTATGGTCACTGCTACCTTTGCTACACAACAGAAATCCTTCAACTTTCAACTATCTTTCACCATGATCAGAGTACCCTCTCTGTTTTAGCAACACAAATGGCATTTGTTTGATGCTCTGAATATATCATCTAGAGCATCATAATCTTAATGCAAAAAAAAAAAATCCCAGTAATATGCTTTGCTAATGGATAACTTGTTCAAAACATTCCTATCTCACCTTTGACAGAAGCAATTTCACACAGGAAACGTGGCCCTCATAGACTGCTGATAGGAGTGGTGTGATATTGTGTTTGTCTGGAGCCTGCAAATTGAGATACAATTACTTGAAGGACAATTTCATACAGCATTATAATGTTTCACATAACTATTTAATTTTCTTTAATCAGTAAGGAAGTAAAAAATATTAAGGAAGCAAAAACTTAAGAATATTATTTAAGAAATGCATTCCACAGGATTTTTTACCTCTTTTTTAATACAGGAAAGTTATCATTTAGAAAAGAGGTAATAGCAAGATATATCTTCCACAAGACTTCAAGGTGTCCCAAAGCTTGTCCATAATTTTAGGCCAATTGTACAGTTTCAGCTGACAAATTTTGCCCAATTTAAAAACACTACTCCTAATTCTCACATTTCACAGGCAGCATCACTTCAGAAAACAGTTTTGGCTGAAATATTCTTTTGGCTGTCTTCTCTCTAACTACAGTTCTGGAAAGAATAAGAAATAGAGCAACTGAAATGCTATTTTTAACTCTTCCCCAGCTAGGAAAATTCCTAAGGAAGAGATAAACTTTCCAGACATCCAGGAGCAACATCTTAGCATTTTCGTTATGAACTAAAGCAAATTCAGGTAAGATGTCTTACATGTTAACTTTTGGGCGAGCATTCTAAGGTTTGTCAACATTTAGGGTGTATGGTTGAAGTATTTAGGAACTTAACTTCTGGAGGGCTGATATAGCTTAGTCAAATCTTTTCAAAACAAGAAACCACGCATGTCAAGCTACAGCTAAATGTCTTAAACAAGAAAGAATGCCTCCAAAAAAGAGACACGCTTCTTTTTCAGTGTATCCAAAGAGAATTAAAACATTTAATAAGCATAATTGTGAACTTCTAACCTCTAGAATCCCACCTCTCAAATATTTTGAAATGCATCAAATTGTTTAGTTTGATTTAGATCATTCAGTGACCATTTAGGCACTTACACCAATCTCTTTGGTGTGTGGGGGAAGACTTTAGGACCCATTTGCAAATACAATAATACATACATTAATGTCAGCTCCTTTCAAGAGCAAAAATTCCAGAATCTCAAGCTGCCCACAGTCTGCTGCATAGTGAAGAGGCTTCCTCCCACCTTCGAGTGTCCGGTTGACATCTTCACCCTTTAAAATAAACACAACCTCATCAGCAAAATTTTAGAGTTAACACAAGAGGAAGAGCTTGATAGAGATCCAACACCTTTAAACATCCTGAAGAATATTCCACCCAAATATTTCACTCACTGCCCCAAGAAAAATGAAAATTAAGTAGTTCAATTTCTATTCCCTCACATCTGCACTTATGACTATAAGACAACCTTGATCCCTTTTTCTGTACTGCATCTCAGGTGTCCCTGTACACAAGGTACAAGTGCACTAGTTTTTTTTAACTCGATTGGAAAAACCAAAGCAATTAAAAAAAAATCATTAGAGCTTGTACATAATGCTCCTCTTGGCTCATTTTGCTTCTCTTGCCCCACAACTAGGAACATAATTATCTGGCTAAGTTCCTTTATCTGCTTCTATGAATACTGAAGCTTTGCATAATGACAAACCAGCTGCATAGAAGTAAGTCAGCATCATAACTACCAGCAAGTGAGTCCAGGCCATCCATAATTTAAAACCCAATTATGAAACTGTCCACCCTGTTTTATAAATAGCACTTCCCAATTCTACATGATACAAACAAGTCTGAAGAGTCAAGCAGATCAGGCCACAGGAAGTTGTACTCTAATGCCTCTCATACGAGTGGATTGAGACATCTCTTAAGGCGTAAACAAAATTGAATTTACTGAGTACCTAATCAGCTTTGTTTCCTCACCTTGGGTTGTGCAACTAAGGATAAACTGATTTACTGCCCTTCCTTAGTGACAAGAAGTTACTGGAAACCAGCTAGAGACAAGCTGTGTGGTAAGTGGCTTCTTGTTCTTATGTGCAGGGAATCTTAGTATTTTAGGAAGTGGCTGAATTTTGCATCATACCTCAAGCCCTGTATCTCCACAGAAAAACAATCAGAAGAATTTCAGCTGCAGCACCAATTCATACTTCTCCATAGAGCCCCTGCAGTTCCTCCACTCCTGTCCTAAAGTTTTGGAAAGTGCACAGAATAGAGGGATTGACATACATCTTCTAGACATTATTTCCCTTCTAAGAATGGAAGGGAAGATTGCCAGAAGGAAATCTTATTCTGCTTTTGATGTTCTATATAATCAGAGTTTTACACTACTAGTCAAATAACAAGATGACCTCGTTATTCTCCTCTCTTCTCAATAGAATATTCAATTATTCATCATATACCCTTGTAGCAGATAGTATTGTGATGTAGCTGAATTTCATTGACAATTAAGTTCCAATTAAAAAAAAAACCCACCCAGATCAAAGTAGGGTAATAGCACATAAATAGTCTGGGAAAGCACATAAAGAAGCAGCATATATTTCTCTTGAACATTAAACTCTACCCATACTTTTATTTGCACATGGACTCTTCCCATAATTTTAAAACAACTGGCATTTACATAACCCATCATGTTTGCTGATACATTAGGGATTGGGTGCACAGGTTTGAGAAGCCAACCACATGAAAGCCACACAATAACCAACCCAAACCAAAACAATCTCCAAAAACCCTTGTAAAGCCTGACACATGCCAAGTGAAGGAGCCTGGGAGAAGGGTAGGCAAGCTAAGTCCTGGGACAGCACACAGTCAAGCCATAAAGTTCACAGTCCAAAGGAAAGTTAGAGTCATCACTTCTCAAGATTACGACAGTCCAGCAAAGCTCTCACTTCGTTAAGCTTATAAATGTTATTCGGCTCACTGGCTTATACTATAGTAATTTTTCTTTTGTTTTTAAAAAATAAAACAAAGTTCCTCTGTTCTCTCCCTAAGCTGTCTGTGGAATAAATTCCTGCTGGATGATGAACTTTCAGAGGAAAAAAAAAATATCCAAACTCCTAGTTTAAGATACCCATAAAGATGATGAAAACTTGTTTATAGGGGAGTACCTAGCAAAAGGTTTGCAAATAAAAATGTCTCAAACACAGATTACATGGTGTTGAATATTGGCACTGAGAACACGTATCATTAATATTCCAAGTTAAACATCAGAACATTTTAGTCTGAATTAACAGAACACAGACATCGCCTAAGTTACAAAAATTAAAAGAAACCAAGAACTCCTATATTCTGCAATAAACCAAGTCAAACATCCAGTTGTTTCATAGGTTTGAAAAGCCACTGTAAAACAAACCACTGAATGTCATGAAGCTTTAACTGGCCCTTCCTACTCCCAGTCCAAGAAATACAGAAGTAGGAAGGGAAGATAAACCAATGCATTTAACATGCAGGGATCAAACTCTGGCAAAACCACTTGTTTCAAATGCAGTCACCAACACATATACATTAAAAAAAAAAACTTGCAGGACTCTTCACAGGTAATTTTTCTCAGGTCTTTAGGTCTCCTATTTATATTGCCTAGGGCATCTCTCTGTAGGACAAGCAGTGTTTTCCAAAGTAAGGTGTGAAAACCCAGAGAAGTGTGCAAGACAATCCACTGGGGTGTGAAAATAAACTATATATTGTACTATCAATAAAATGTAAAAATAGCATTTATTTCACCTTTAGTTCATCTTTAATTTCCATTTTTGGGTATATTTTATAATGTGCACATTACACAGTACACGAGTACATACTGAAGCTGACTTAAATATCAAGTCCCAATCCACCTGCTCAGGGCCAGGCTGGATGGGGCTTTAAGCAACCTGGTCTTGTGGAAGGTGCCCCTGCCCATGCAGGGGGGTTGGAATTAAATCTTTAGGCATAAGATAAAGACTTGAGCCCTTGCCTCATAAAAGAGACAGCTCTGGTGAAGGTGTGGCTGATTATACCAACACAATGAGACGAAGTTTTCTCTCAAGCCTTGTCATAGGTTGGGTCAGGAAACAGCACACAAGTAAAGACTCAAAGAAAAATATTACCTCTGCATCAAGTTTTCCAAATTTAGTGTGGTTTTGAGTAATACTGGCCAAACATGCCATAAAGAATGTTATGAACAGCAATCTTATGAGGTGATGATTCTCAATACAGAACTCTGAGACAGCAAAGTAACCAATATATTGGTGGGCTGAAAGGAAGCTGCTAAAGGGTTTATACTAAAAATCACCATCTCCTGCAGAGGCACATGGTCAGAATCCACAGCAACTCAAAAAATGGACCTTAATTTTTCCTTTACACCCACAGGAGCAAAATCTTCTGTGCACTAGACCAAAAGTGACAGAATGATTCTTCAAGGAAGTTTTATGGGACTTCTGCCATTTTCTAGAGTCTAACAGAGCAGTAAGGAGGCTAACCTGTGTATTTGGAGGAGCTAAAATTAAGCCAGGATCAAAGAATCATATCACCCTCAAAATAAAATGTAGCTCCAGTCAAAGGTCAGGCTTCTCCTGAAAGAAGACTATTTTCACTTTCTAGTGTAGACCCACACATGCAGTAACAATGGTGCAAATATTTCTGTACAGCTTCAGAAAGTAATTTGCCCATGCAAAAGAAAGACATGATCACCTCTATAATGACCTTCCAGAATACACTGAATTTACTCAGTCAGCCATTTAAGGCTAAGTCTGCCATAAACCACAATAGTCACATTTTTCTTTTCAGATCACAGATCCAGGGCACCAGCTATGTATTAGCACTAAAAACACGTTACACCCATGAAACATCAGTTCCCAGGTATCTGCTTTAATCCCCTCTATTAAAATCTGATTAGGAGTAAAGAAAAGCCTTGAATTACTAAACAAGATGACATAAAAGAAGACTTTTATACCCTATTTCAAAAAGTCACCTAAAATGGCTAACAGAAGAACTTTAAATTAGGAGATCTTAAGGTATCAGTTGAAACATGGCTTTCAATTTTTCACTGCAGGACAAGAAAATAAAAACTGGAAACTCACTTTCAAATACTTTTAAGAACTTTGCTTTTTAAGTAACTAAGAGTAGGAATCATTACAGCACCCTATGAATGCAACTATCACCCACTTTCTGCAATGGAGCAATTTAATCCATAAAAACATCTGTTCTAACTAATTTCTTAAGTGACTACTGTCAAAAATAGTTATTCTTGAACTTAATTCTTTCATTACCCTCTCTCTCACACATTTTCCTTGCTTTACCTTCTCTTGCCAATATACCTACACAAAATCCCTTGTTATATCTCATGTCCTTTTCCAGTTTAGCTCTAGTCAAGGCTTTGGATTTTTTAGTTCCATCCCTGCACACCCTGGGGAAGTGACTATGTTCTTCTTGGATACCCACTCCCAAATGCCATTTTTATGCTCCCCTCTTCCTTTCTGAGCTCAGAGAGGAGATCCTGACAGCCAAGCTGCTCTGAGTAAATTGTGCCAAATTTAATTCCTTTTTCTTTTGCAGCCCTTGTTAAAAGAATGAAAACCAGAGTTTGCTGACTCTGTCCCTAATGCACATTATGACATCAGCTCCATGCAAATGAACAAGTTTAGTCATGAAGTACACATTCTGAAGCTCATTATTTTCCAGGGAGATTATTTAACCACACCTAACTGACTCCATCCTTCAACTGCCCCTGCCTTTCTGCAGCCTTTATTACACAAGGCTGTATTCAATGCCTGCTTTGGTCTCCCTTTATCTGCAAACTCCCTCTTTTCCCAGCTCCTGCCAGTTTCAGAAGCATCAAATGAGCTAAACTCAAGTTTAACCTAATCTAGGCTAAACTTCACCATTAACCTAATCTAGGTTAAAGCTAATCACCATTCTAGCACCCTCCAGCACACTCCAGGTGCTTCAAGCACAGGCTTATTTTGCAGTGGCACACGAACTGAAACCAAACCTGAGGCGGGTGTTCACGCGAGCACTGTGGTTTGTCAGAAGTGTTGTTCTAGAACATTAACTGCCAGGCTACAAATGCCACAGCTCACCCTTCACTTTAGCACCAGCTTTTCTCCTGTGCGGCAGCAACAGCTTTGCTACTTCCAGCCAAAGTTTGACCCTTCCCACCCCTGCACCAGAATTAGTGGCTGAATGATGAATTCAATGAGGGAACTAATCAGTGTGAGAATTTATTTGATCATTTCCTTCATGTGTTCCATGACTTGGC